AAATCGATGGATTTATCAAGGAACTGATGCTACACTATTAAATCAATTGATAATATTACCAATTCAATTATGGGGTTTTAATTATTCAAACAAATACTGATTTATCTTCAGTATTTAAACATATCTCTGGCATATTTGTAAATAAATTTTCTCAATATGATCCATCATCTGATCGAATTCGTGCTTGTTCTATGTCTATTGCTTGATGGACAAGTCTTGCTCTAGCTTCTTCTGTAATAACAGTTGATGGACATCCATTAGGTCAAGTTAAAAAATTAAGACATAAGCAAGAATATGCAAATCCAGTAGTTAAATGTTCTTTATTTGCACTTTATCTTCAATTAACGGATCATTTCTCATCTGCAACAGCAACTTATGCACAAACGAAAGCTTTTCTTCAAATTCATTACGAAATCAGTTTATGTTAAATCATCCTCAATGGATGACAACCAATCCAAATATATTTTATTCAGTCGCTGTCACTTTGGCATGAGCTATATTATATTTTTCTAAAAAAAAATGATTTTGCATTATACGAAAAAAAAAGTGTTAGCAACTCACGCCCTCTGGTAAATTTGTCTTCCTTTTGAAGGATATATGGAACATGGCTCAATGGCGATTTTGTGTGTGTACATACACTTTCATGCATGAAAGTGTGTATAGGTTATCTCAACCGATGTATTGCTAGAAAAGCACTGAATGTAATTTCGATTGGTATATAATATAATTATGTTTGATGCACATATCAAAAGGAAATTCAGTTAGATGCACAAAATATATTCGCCGGTTTTTTTCAAAGACGACTTTTATAGACATTATGGAATTGAACAAATTTTTTTTCCAATACACTTAGTTCGATGAACTGTGGTGTTTTTCAATGATGAAAAGGGCTCTTTCAGTCGATCGTCAATTTAAAAATGAGGTATCTTCTAGAAAGTCTTTTCTAAGACTTTTGAGATATCGATACTCATGAAAATAAACTAAATTAAAAACTAAAAAATGTTTTCCTCATCCGAACCGATAAGAAGTTGACTTTGAAATGAAAGTAACCTAAGCTGTCGTTTAAAGTTTTGACTGAGAATTGCATTGTGGCACATGATTATTTATCATTGTTATTATCTTTGTCATATATTAGATGATAGCACGCTATGACACACTTCTCGTCATATATTCTTTTATGGTATATTGTCAGAGGGATTAAAAGACATTTCTTCCGTGCAATTATTAGCAGATGCACTTCGCATAGCGATATCGATAGGAAATTTTGAGCTAAAGAATAAATTCAGAATATTTTTACATAATATAGTCGAAAACTAAAAAAGAAACAATCGTCGTCATTAGCTCATAACTAGGATGAACATATTCTTGTCATTGTGCCAGAACTACTTCGGT